ACACCTCGGCTGTCTTGCTCGACTCCCACCCAGCTGCTTTCCTTGTCCTAGTTTTTTTTTTTTTTTTTGATAGCTGCAAATAATTTTCATAATTACATCCCGCCGGCTCTCATGTTTTAACAGGTGGAGAATTTTTGTTTCCTCCTGCTTTGTCTGTGACACCACCAAGGAAGCAGGGGAAAGATAAAAACGTGCCATATTGACATCATTTTTCACATTATTGGATAAAAACAAACACGGACATCTCTTTGATTTGATTTCAACAAATGTCATGTTTTATATGGCATTATATTCCAGGTCTAACATGAAATAATCTGATTCCCCTTCCCTGGATAATGGCATTAGGCTGACTGATTTTCTCTCCTGGCTATTTCTCATGCATTTCTCTTGGCATGGCGTCATCCACGTCAACCCTTCGGTTTGAGACTGAAGAGTGTAGCACCGCAGGATTCCTCCTCACTTCCTTTCAAATCACATTAATAACTTTCAGAGTGCGTGACTAATTATTTTCTCACTACCACATTCGACTCCAGTAAAATTATTTTTCTTTTCCACCTCTCAGTTCATCTGATATTGGTTTATGTGCTCTACAGTTTCTGAGCCCGGGAAACATGTTGTTGCAGCGAAACCTGAAACATATGAGTCCAATTCACTTCGCCCACGTGGAATACTATTATGTTTTTAAGACTCGGAGGGCTTGAGAAAAAGACTTGCTGTTGACGCTGAGTGAAATGTAATTGCGCTGTTATTGCAGCTGTCCAAGTGAGGAGAAAAGCAGTCATTTCAGGAACAGAAGACGTTTCCAAGAAGACGTTTTCGCTGACAGCTTTTCATTCCACCAGCGCACCTTTACCCCATCGATTAATTCCAGAATTGTTCTCATCGGTCAGATATTGCTGTATTATCAGAAGTGTTTGGCTTCACAGAGATACACTCGCAGCGTCTATTGATACCCCCCAAAGGGCACCTTAATACCCCATATTTAGCATGTTTAGACACTTGCTTGTTACTGTAATGTACATATTTATAATACCCATATATCATTCTCTATATGTCTACATGCTGTCAATACAAATAAAGGCAGTAAGAAGAGCTGATTATACTACTATTAACACTTTGACCTTCAGATACCTCGAACTTGAAATAGAGGTCAAAGGTTATAAGGTTAAAGGTTTTAAACCTTTATACAGTACTTAATATATGTTGATATTATGTTTGATAGTTTCAAGGTTTTGGTGATCTTTTGATCAATAAATCCTTCAGTTCACCTGGAAGACCTTGGTTAATGTAAGCCAAATTTTAATGGATTGTTAACATGACCGCACTCTACACCCTGACCAAGTTTGATCAGAATTCATTTGAGACTTTTTGTGACTGAATTGCAAGCACGCACGCAAATGCTACCAAAAACATAACCTCCTTGATGGAGATAACAATGGGAAGGTATCATTTTGTGGCAAATAGGGCTAATGTTGTAAATTGGGGAATTTTAAACTCAAACCCACAATCGTTTCTTCAGCCTAACCACACAGCGAAAAGTACGTAAAACGCAAGTGCAAACAAAATTAATCAGTGAATAGTTTTAATAATAAAAAATCCCAAAGGGCAGCCTTGCCGCAGTGTTCTGGCTGACAAATGTCACTACATCTTAGAGGTGGCTGTAGCTCAGGTCATCTACTGAAGGTTGGAAGGTAGGTTCAATTCCTGGCTTCCCCTAGTCTGCATGCCAAATATCCTTGGGCAAGATATTAACCCCAAATTGCTCTCCGATGCATCCATCAGAGTGTGAATGTGTGTGAATGTTACTTAGAAAGCACTTAGAACAATGTGCTTGTGCAAATGGGTGTGAATGGGTGAATTCACAAGTTGTGTAAAGCACTTTGAGTGCTCAGAAGAGTAGAAAAGCGCTATATAAGAACCATGGCAAGAAGGCAGCGGGCCCAGATGGCATCAGCTCGAGGGTCGTCAGGTCCTGCGCGGACCAACTGTGTGGGGTGATGGAGCACCTCTTCAACCTGAGCCTGAGGTTGGGAAGAGTCCCACAGCTCTGGAAAACCTCCTGTGTTGTACCAGTGCCAAAGACTTCACGCCCCAAGGACCTCAACAGCTACAGGCCGGTGGCTCTGACATCCCACCTGATGAAGACCCTGGAGCGGTTGGTCCTGGCTCAGCTTCGGCGCCTAACAAGCTCATCACTGGACCCACTTCAGTTTGCCTACCAGCCTGGCATTGGAGCGGATGATGCCGTCATTCACCTCCTACATCGTTCCCTCGCTCACCTGGAGACCACTGGAAGCACTGTGAGAATCATGTTCTTTGATTTCTCCAGTGCCTTCAACACCATTCTTCCCTCGGTTCTGAAGGACAAGCTGGAGAACTCTGGAGTGGACCATCACCTCACTACCTGGATTTTGGACTACCTCACCGACCGACCACAGTATGTGAGGACTCAGGGCTGTGTGTCGGACAGGGTCGTCTGCAGTACGGGGGCCCCACAGGGAACGGTTCTGGCTCCGTTCCTCTTCACCATCTACACTGCAGACTTCTCCCACAATTCCACCCAGTGCTTCCTGCAGAAGTTCCCTGATGACTCTGCAATAGTCGGCCTCATCACTGATGGGGACGACAAGGAGTACAGAGGACTGACTCAAGACTTTGTGGACTGGTGCCAGCTGAACTACCTCCAGATCAATGCCAGTAAAACCAAGGAGCTGGTGGTAGACTTCCGCAGGCACAAGCATTCTCCACTGCAACCACTGAACATCCAGGGTATGGACATTGAGGCTGTGGACAGCTACAGGTACCTTGGTGTTCATCTGAACAACAGACTGGACTGGACTCATAACTCAGACGCCCTCTACAGGAAAGGGCAGAGCAGGCTGTACCTGCTGCGGAGACTCAGGTCGTTTGGGGTGGAGGGCCCACTCCTGAAGACCTTCTATGACTCTGTGGTGGCTTCTGCTATCTTTTATGGTGTGGTCTGCTGGGGCGGCAGCATCTCTGCTGGGGACAGGAAGAGACTGAACAGGGTGATCCGAAGGGCCAGCTCTGTTCTAGGATGCCCTCTGGACCCAGTGGAGGTGGTGAGTGACAGGAGAACGGCGGCTAAGCTGTCATCCCTGTTGGACAACGTCTCCCACCCCATGCAGCAGACTGTGACAGCACTGAGCAGCTCCTTCAGTGGGAGACTGCGGCACCCACGGTGTGGGACGGAGAGATTTCGCAGGTCTTTCCTCCCCACTGCTGTCAGACTCCACAACAAAGACTTTAACTGAACAAACACACACATCCACACATGTGCAATAACACTAAGTGCAATAATCTTTTCTGGCATCGTTGTATTTTTACTCAGTTGTATATAGCATTCGTATTCTATTTTTATCTTATTGTATATTTTTATTCTATTTTATTCTACTGTATATAGTATTTTATTTTATTCTATTCTGTACAGCTGTGTACTGTATTTATTCTTATTGTATTCTAATTTTTGCGTCATAACTTTTGCACTGTCCACTTCCTGCTGTCACAAAACAAATTTCCCACGTGTGGGACTAATAAAGGTTATCTTATCTTATCTTAGTCCATTTACCATTTACATCCACATCTGGCTGTCTGCATCCACAGACACCCTTTCAACCATTAAATGCAGATTTCACATTAAATGCACATTACTGTAGCTGGTGTGTCAAAAGCATGGACACCAAAAGACACCGTGTACTGTATGTACCTTTGCAACACCACCATCTGATTGAATGGCAGTATTTGACATCCTGTGTTTACTGCAAATCAGAGGACAAAGTGCATTAAACTGTGAGTTTAGCTACATTCTGCCAGCTCCACAAATCCAAAGACTGCAAAGAAGCTGCTCAGGTTTAGAAATCAAATTTGGGTAAATTGTGAGTTATTAAGTGGTTAATTTATTCACACAAGCCATCCACCACTACCTGCCTTCCACAATAAAGCCTGAGCCTTATGAATGCTGACAAGTGGTCAAGCCACGCCTGCAACACCTCTTCAGCTTGCTTCTGTTTAATTGGCTTGCCTCGTTCTTTCATAAGCCAGCTCGTTAGCAGCATGCTGGTGCTGAGGGAGATGATATCTCCATGTCAACCTCACAGATGATCAGACGGCAAACACACATGCACACTGGTACAGGTTAGCAGTGTGTTGTCATATGCATATGAGCGGAATGAAGCCATGGCTGGAAATGCTCGTCTATAATTTATCTCTTCAGCACACTAGTGGTGGGCTAAACTGATCCAAACTGTAGCTATCAAGACCTACAGCTGACACAAACAAGCTCCATCGCAAAATGTTTAATGCATACTAAAGAGAAAAGTCATATCAACCATGTGGCCAGTGCAGTATGTTTGAAAAGTCAAGAGAACAGGATTCTTTGTTTGTTTGTTTTAATCACAGCATTCTTTAAAAGCAGTTCTCCTTTCTTAATTTGTGGTTGATATGGACCACGGTTCATTTAGTACTTTATTATCTGTGTACCAGGCAACACAGATCCCTTAAACAAGCCATTCAAAAGGTACCTAGGGTTAAATGGACTAGCTAAACACACTTAGGGCTCTACTACCTTTTAAGACTACAATATAAAATAAATCACTAGCCAAGAATCGCTGAAGCTGCAAACAACCAGCATGTGCCACTTTCCCACGAATAAGAACTCGTGTGAACAATTTAAGTTCAATTCATCTTTTATCAAAACAATAATTTTCTTTTCTCTTATATGGACTGGTTCTTGTAATGCGCTTTTCTATTCTATCCTGAGCACTCAAAGTGCTTTACACAACACTTTTTTTCTACTGTTTCTGAGTGCTTCCTAACTAACATCCACACACTGTATGCATGCTATAGTCCGATGGATGCATTGGAGAGCAACATGGGGTTAGTACAACATGCACTGAAAGGCTTAAATGCTTGCTTTTGGTCCTCTCTTTGTTACTGTGTATTCACTGTGTCTGTGCTAACTGTATTTGTGGGTTTAACAGGCCAGCAATGGGACGGAGACATCAAGTGGACGCCATTCTGTAACGGTTGAGACTCAGGTCCAGAAACAGCAGCAAGAGGACAGAGATGATTTCCCACAAGCACAGAGACAGTACAATTCCCTGCCACGGTGAGACATCCTTCCTTCCTTTTCTTTCTTTCTTCAAACTGTCCATGCATCCATGCGGCTGCGTCCACCCCTTTGACTTATCACGTCCTCCCTGCCCTTTCTCAACCCCTTCATTTGACTTTTTTTGATTTCCATCAATTTCTTTTCCTCACATTTTTGCCTTCCCCCCCACCTCCCCCCTCCCTCACTTATCTCTTTGGCTTCCCTCAAAGTCAATCACCACAAAGCCACTTTCAACTAATCTCCAGACATTTGAACGATTCTTAGCAAACTCTTTGAATGAAATCATTTAATGTGATCGCTTAGAATTATTTGACTGATATTCAACTTCATTAAGTCAATGCTGACCCGAAGAAAGCGGTGACTTTGTCCCAAGCCCCCCTCTCCAATAACAGCTCCAATATCACATTATTTTTTCTAAAGGCTATTTTTTCCCCCTACAATCTCTTGCCTCGCACAGTTTGCCATTAGGAGCTACAAGCACTGCTTTTCATCTTCTCCATCTTCTTGTTTCGATTCTTTTTTGCATATTTGTCAAAGAGATGCCAATAAAGCTTACCATATCATACATCTTGAGCCTTTTTTGTGGGAGGGGGTGGTTTAGTATCAATATTTGCCATTTCTGCCAGCACTCCGTTAAATGTCTTTACTGAAGTTTTTAATCTCATGGCAGTAGGTGCAAATTACAAAGTTAACCACTGCTGCTAGGGGAAAGAAAGTCGCATATGAAGCTTAATATCCTGGAAGAAAAGCTCCCCAAGGCAATAATTCTGTCATTTGACTGAGTGACACATTATTGTTGAATATTTTCACACTGAAAACAATCCATTGTGAGGGTTTTTTTGCATTGTGAAATGTATTATATGTTCAAAAATGCTAAGAGCAAAGTCAAGATTTATTTCACTTTTGCAGCTTGCCAATTTAAACAAAGACGGAGCCCTTAATATATGTGTGTGTGTGTGTGTGCGTGCGTGCGTACGTGCGTGCGTGCATGCGTGCGTGGTCTTTTCATTTTCTTTGCCAGTTCTCGTCTATGCTGTAACGCACAAGCACCAATCACTTCTTCATATTCATCCCCTTTTGTGTTATGTTGCCTCAAAACACAGTTGGGTCGATGAAAACGTGTTCGTGTCTGTGGATATGGATTTGCGGTCCACACGGACACATAATCAATTTGGTCTGTATAAGGCAGACTGATCTATGCATTCCCCTCATATGTGTTATCTGCTTGCATCTCATGTGGTGTGACAGTTGAGCTGGGACCTTCTCTCCCAGTGAGTTGCTTCTCTTGGGAAAGTTCATGTCTCCGGCCAAGCAGCCAAGCGAGGATGGCCTTTGATATGCATTCCTTTCATAATCTCATAGTGGCTTCGGGCTAAGAGCCACATGAGCTCAGGCTTGATGCTTGACCCTGGCTGAGGCTTTTCGGGGCTTGGTGTGTCGGCATGGCTTCTCATTAAAGAGCTAGTCTTACATCCCCAGATTAATAATCACAATGCCTTCTAATGTCAGCCACCTCTCTTATTGGAACCTCTTCATCTTTTCCTCTTCCAAAGCAGGAAGTCTGAGCAGTCAGCCATTCAGCAGAAAAGGGAACATTCCCTCACCAAAAAACACCCCAGAAGCTTCCAGAGGAAGCCATGGTAGCTGGTTATCTGATGACGGCCAGGCTTAGCTCGCTGTCTGGGATGTGAGGATTGGAAGAACACTAATGAAGGCTTGTTGTTGGAGCAGGATTAGCAGTGACAGGCAGCGGAGGTCGAGAGTGACTGGGAGAGGAACGAGTGTTTTAGTAGGAAGGAGAGACCACTGATTAGCCCGAAAGAGATGTACACACACACACACAAGCACACGCATGAATGCAGTGAATGTCGAGATAAGGTTCTTAACTGCGGGCTGAGTGAACTGCCAGTAGCTCTTTCATCTAGCCGTGCAACTATCGCATTCCCAGCCAAAAGAATATTGTTCCAAGTTAGAAAGAAAACATTATTCCAGGTTTGTAGACAATTTATTTATACAATATAGAAAATGATTGTTGCATTACACATTAGATGCTTTTGGGTGCATGTGTGCGTGCGTGCATGTGTGGAAGCTTTCTCCTACTTCTCATAAACTCTGATTCTTCCCAGCTGTTTTAAAGAAACACACAGCGGCCACAAATGTTCCTGCGAGCCAACTTCCTGGGTTTGTTTGTTATTTTCTGTCATTCTAAATTTACCCCACTCTTTGGCATGATGTATTTTCCCATCCCCTCCCGCTGTACATGTAACTAATCTACTTTGTGATATATTTTGGCAAAGGAGTAGAGGTGATAAGAGAAGTAGATCCCTTGACGCATCAATCACTATTACATTCCTGTGGAGCAACGCAATCTCTCTGCTCTCATCTCTCCGCTTCTGACTTCCCCCTAAAACTTCTGTGCTTTTAAAACCTAAAAGGTCATTCTGGAAACGCAGGTTGCTTCCTCGTGCAACAGGCGTTCCTGTGCTTCTAAACAAGCGACTCCCTCATGAGCGGTGCTGGCTGCTCTGTGAGCCAAGCCAGGGTGTAAGTGCGTGGCGGCTCGCCCAGACGGTGAGGTCCATGTATGGAGCATGTGGTGAGGCTCTCTGCAGTCTGTCCCTACATCTGCCCCTGTACTTGTGCATACTAGCAACCAAATGGCGGAACAAGAGGATGTGTTTGTGTTGCACATGTTCGTAACAGAAATGCATGCACAAAAAAACTCACAAGCTCACAAGAGCTCACAAGAGCCCACATACCCCACGTTTACAGGGCCGTGTGCTTTAGCCCTTCCCCTCCCTTTAGTCATTGTGAACCGCAAGGGCTTTCATTAGAAATGCTGAAATTCTGGGATTCTCATAACAGTTTCACTGTGATGATGATAGAAAGAAAATATTTCTAGCAATGGAAAGTTATCAAGAAAGAGGCACTGTGTTTTGTAGCATTTTCTTTAAATCTGTGTGCCCATGATGGCAGCCCTGGCATAGGAACAAACTGTATAGTGTTTCTACTTGCAGTGGAATTCCCTTATTGAAATCCCCACTTCAACACTTATTTTTAAAATGTTTATTATGAAACAGAATGGTATTTCAATAAAAGAAAGAAGAAATAGAAAAAAAACACAACAGAAGTTCAAAAAACCCACAAAGGAAGTTGAATAAAATAGAACAGAAGTAGAAAAAAAAACAACTCTCACAAACACAACTGTAGTGTTTCTGGTGAGACATTAATGCACAAGTGACAAAAACATGTGAAGGATTGCACCGAGACATGTTTAAAAGGATTCATCAGTGCTATGAGAGAGAAAAATATCACATGATACATGTAATACGTTTACTGTTAGCCATGTACTGTTAGCTTGTCAGTTCTGTAGCTGTTCTATCACGTTAATATCTCACCAAAAACACTTTCGTTGTGTTTTCTGTGTGTGTTTTGGTTTGTTTTTTTTGGGGGGGTGTTGCTGAAGTTTTCCTTTGTATTTTATTTTACTTCCTTTGTAGTTTTTTTTTTTTATTGCTGTCACCCCTTGAGTCGGGCATGCAGGGCACCCAAGCCGGTGAATGCATTAACCCAAGAAGGAAGTCACCTAGGATCAAATTGATACCATAGCTACATCGACTAAACCTCTCTGACAATTTTGAATTTTGAAAAGGAAAAACACAGCGTTTTGAAAACGCTCCCAAAAACGCATACATTTCAAAACAGAGCTGCCCCGTCGCAGTGTGGACACTCGAAAATGCAGACTTTCTAATAGCGGAGGGCATTATACAGCAGTTGTTTAGATTGCTCTCAATTTTGACAGCCCTAAAAATGATTAATATCAGTTTGTACATGCTGCAGATAGCTTTTCTTCAAATTCTTTAATTCTCACTCGCTTTTGCGCATGCGCAGGACTGTAACGTTTTGGGTTGTTTCAATATGGACGCGCAACTCTGTGAAAACAACTGAAAACGCTAGTGTGGACACCGTTTTTGTTTTTTTTTCCTTTAAGCGAAGGACAGTGCGTTTATTTACAGTGAACACATACACCAAGTGGCTATATACAACGTGCAGGGGAAACGGATTCGGGTCGCCAGGGTCCGTGGGAAACAGGGTTGGGAGAAGGGTTTTCCACACTTTCTGTACAAAAACGTTCCCCCTCAATCACTCCTCTCCGCATCGGGTTCCAAAAACGATACTGATAGCTCAACGATCCAGCGAAGACTAGTGCAGACTCGCCATCTAAGTAGTGCAGTAATCAGCTGGGATCAGCGGCCGGTGTGGTGATGAGCAGGTGTGTGGGCCAGCAGCGGGAGCCCGCAGTGAGCATCGCCGTGGCGAGAGAGAGAGAGAGAGTGAGAGAGAGAGAGAGAGAGAGAGCGAGAGAGAGAGAGCAAACAAACCACAAACATATTGCCCAATAGAGGATTGACCAGCGGGGCACAGGGACCATGACAGAATGTGTATTTTTATTTTATTTTACCGCAAGCAAAAAGTACTCCACCACAGATTTTCAAATTCTTATCCTACCTTATACTTTTCTTTGCAAACATTTCATTCATTAAACTGCAGTCATGCTTTGGGACCCTATCTGCGATGTTTAAGGGAGCTCTGAAGAAATGTTATGGTTGCAGCTTTTAGGCTTTTTGCATTTGATACATAGGGGCACAACAGTCCTATGTGAAAAGGTCAGTCCATCACAAACCATCATGTTCCCTGATGTTGTCTCCAAGACTTGAAAATATGCTGCCTGTTATTTATTTATTTATTTTTGTCCTGTGGCATTTTGGGATGATTTAAACATTAAGTACAAAAGTTGTCTAAATGGTGCTTAAAATAACATTTCACCATTTGATTTTTGTTTGATTGCAAGAGGAAAGAACAGACAGAGACTGCACAAGTAAATGCTATTTTAAATAAAGATATTAAAATACATACATACATATATATTTATAAATTCACCTGTTATGTTTATCATCCAAACTTGTTTATATTAAGTGTTTAATTACCCTTTTAAAGTCACACTGACAG